GCAAATTAGACAACTACATTAAAAAAGTGTTTCGGATTATTACAGAATGCTGTTCGTGACTCCAGATAGATTGACATAAATTGCATAGTCTTACTGCATTACTTGTCCGGGTACTTCTGTGTGCAGGGACATGAGCTCCCCCCCATCCCCACCAACACACTTACTGCACACCTTTGTTTGTTAATTTTGTCCAATACATTTGTCCTCTCATAGTTACCATCTTTCCATTCTTCTAAAGTTTGTTCTGTGTATGCAGGCACATTTCATTTGAGATTTATGGAACCTTTGTTATCCTTTCGGTGAAGCTTGCTCTAGCCATGCAAATTATTGGATTTTCAGTAAGGTTATCATCTTCATTACTGTGGATACAGATGTACAGATTGGGTGCTTCTTACATACACAATTCAGCTCCTCGAGAAACAGACGTTGATTTGAGAAATAGTTTCCTCAATCCTGCAACTCCTATAGTTAGCCATCCCTCTGGTTCGGATGATGTTATTGGAGGTGCTATATATGATCCAGCATATTTTTCATCTCTTTTTGAAGATGGTAGAGATGATGCAAGTTTCTTAGGGGTATGATCCTCTCACTATTTTTAAGCTGTTCAAACTTTACCTCACCTCTCCCTTCCGCCATAAAAAGACAAAGGAGAAAAATAAAAAATAGAGGCACGCAGAGAAAATTAGAAGTCCCTGCGTCAACTCAAAATTGAGAAGCTAAGCATCACTCTGGAGCTTTATGTCTCTCACTCCACAAGGCTCATGAAATTTTAGGCAAATGTAAACTTACCAAATGGAAAAATGGAAGATCGTGTTGGAAAAAATGATGTTTTACATTGAACGATTTAGTTCAGTTGTCCTGAAATCGATATATGTTCTGCTACAACTGAATTAATAAGTATACACCACACCAGATTGATTTGCCGTGGAAAAAGGATATTATGATGTAGCAGTAGCGTTTTGATTTAGAAGCAAGCAGAACCGTTCTGGAGAAAGTTTTCTTCAGTAGCCAACACTATGGAAGTGGTATAAAGCCCTCTCAAATAGTCTCCTGATTGTCATAAATCTAAAACTGATGATGGAGGAAATAGTGGATGACAATGAGGACAATAATTAGAATAACATGAAGAATTGAAAATAGAAGAAAGGAAAAACTGAAGGCTATATATAGGGATTCTGGGGTTTACATAATGATAATGATGTCCAAGAGCGACATATACTCTTAGAAACTGTTCATCATTTCCCCCCTGAATGCTCTAGTATTTTTCACTCACAACACTTTCAATAAACTATCATTTTGTGGTGGATATACGGCATCTTTATGTGCATTGTGGTCTTTTCTATTTGCAGAGTGGTCAAAATCATGGCATTGCTGTGGTCGAGTTGCCCACTTCTGCTGAAACTTCTCGACTGAATTCATCTGCTCATCGTATCGAAGATGTGAGTTCTTAATGACCTCCATGTAGACAGTCGATTGCCATTTGATTAAAGGAATAACATTTGTGATCACTATGTGCTCAATTTGATCATTACTGTGGTGTTTTCCAACGAAATCAATTCTTGTTATTTGAAAATGTTTGATTAAATAGTTTAGAGATTTTATCGGCCAAAATATTCTTCAGCAAAGTTTTCAAATGTTGAAATTTAATTCAATTTTTTGGTGTTGACACTACCAATGCCGACAGATATAGAAAAATGGTGTTAGATTCTGAATTTATTGTGCTCTGGTAATAATAATTATAACCCGCTAATTAAAATTTATTTGCAGGGTGATAATGCTACAAGAAAGCTCCAGATAGTTTGAGTCGGACCAGTTCTTACATTGTTGGTGGTCATACCCCGTATTCTTTGTTTGGAGGATTATTTTTTCAGTAAATTCTGCAGGCTTGTGATAGATGGTAAGGTTTGTAAAGTTGTCTAGTTGCAGTAGTAATATTCTCTTGGCTGGAAGATGCCTTGAGGTATCTCAATGAGTAAATGGTGGTGTTAACATTGTTAAAAATTTTGAAGCAATAGAAAGGCAGCCTTTTAGCCTATGAACTGTCAATTGTTAGGAATTAGGATTTACTTATCTTCGCAATTTATTCAGAAGAATTTGAATCCATAGCTGTTCTTGTGCCTTTAGTTATCTTCTCGAGAAAAGAATACGAATTCTATGCAAATAAATATGACCAGAAACATAAATAATTATGTAGCATTTTCTTCAAAAATTCCAACTTAATGAAATATTGAAAATAAGATGGAGCTTGCTTTTGTTTGGCAGTTTTAAATAAAAGAAAAAATGATTGAGTAAAATAGAGAGAATTGACTTGAGGTTTTAAACGCTAGAAAATGTTTAAAAAAATAAATTACATCAGTTTATTAATAAATTAAAAAAAAAAAAAAAGGTTGAACCCCAACCTCAAAGATTTCCTACCTTCCCATCCCTGGAGTATCGTGAGAGAGGTTAATCGCGGGATATGTTCCAACAGATAAGGGAACAAGAGCTGTTTAGCGTACACTGGTGCCCACAAAAAATTCCTATTCAATTAAAAAATTAGATTAGAATGGGGAGAGAGTGTTGGCAAATGAAAATGAAATTCGTCTGGTGGTCTCCACAAGTCAGAAAATGAGCCAGATTAGAAGATGAATTCTGACTAAATGCTATCCTTGACAAATTTATAAAATGAATTCTAAATTAGTCTCACGAAATAATAATGATTAGTACTCCTGAATATTTATTATTAAAATTAATATTTGATTTTGATTAGATTTATAAATCATTTTTAAGTTTATATATATATAT